CACTGGCGCGCACGCTGCCCGCGTAAGGTCGCCCGCGCACGCTGCCCGTCGTCTCCGAAGTAGCGTATCGCGCCGGCGGCCCGCGGAAGCCACTGCGTGCGGCGCTGTGTCATCTCACGTGAGACCCATTTTTTTGTTCGTCGTTCAAGTGGTGGCGCAGCGCGGCCGCAGGCACACACTTCTTACGTCGGCGGCCATAGGCAGAGTATAACTGCGCTGGCGGCAGAGCCATATGAACGGGGACTCCGTGCAGCGAATTATGCCACAGTGCAGGAAGAGGGCCACAGTCACACACACACACACACACACTTTTGATCCGCGGGTCGAGAGCGCACCTCTTCCGGTCGAAGCTAAGCGAGCCGCGCGAAGCTTGAATTAACAAAGAGGGGGGGACAGAAGGAGGCCGGCCTCACGGCAAGGCCAGGAGGGGGCAAAGCCCCGGAATCAGGTGATGCCGAAGACGATGTGCTTGCAAAGGAACGCCTTTTACAGGAACCCGGTGGCGAAGTACCTCCACACAAACACATAACACGCACACCTACAACACACACACACACACACACACACACACGCACGCACGCACGCAAACCCAAACCCGCACACGCAAAAACTGCCCGGCGTCGCCGCCACGCGCGCAGCAGCGTCGCGGAGTCCGGCCAGCGGGGGTGGCCGGCGGGAGTGCGGCGAGCCTGCCAGCGCACACACCTCGGCGGCCAGCGGGGGGGGCAGTGAGAAGGAGGAGGCCTTCTTAGAGGGCGGCGGGCCGCATTAGTCAGGAGGGGAAAAAACACACAGACACAATGAATCGTCGATTCCCCAGAAAATATGGGAAAGTATGGGAATTGGACGGGAAGACAAAAACCCCCCAAATATATGGAAATATAGGGAATATTTTTTATTTGTGTGTATTCATTTGTGTGTCCAGGGGCCCCTTCAATAAGATTGCTCGCTCGCGTGGTGATTCATGGAGCTTGGGTTCTCTGGCGCGGGAAAAAAAAAGAAGGCGGCGGGGCTGCTCAGAAGCCCTCTGGCCGTCTGGGAGGTGTCACGTGTCTTCCGGGGAGGCTCTCTGGGAGAGGCTCTTCTCGGAAGGCCAGGGGAGGTCCGAGCCTTCTGAGAATCACCACCCACCAAACCACCCCAACCCAACCCGAAGGCTCAGATTTACCCTCGATTTCTAGTGGGGGGGGTCAGGAAACATGGACAAAAACACGCGTGGGACCCTTACCCCCCCCAACCCGAAATTCGGGTCTTCGGGTTGGGTTGGGGTGGTCTGGTAGGTAGTCAGAGAAGGCCCGCCCTTCTCTCATCGGCTGCACGTAGGAGAGACTTTCACCAGGAGTGACCTTCGGCGGTGCGGGCACACGGGGCCCCCGATCGCTGAAGCCGCTGCGAGTCAGCTGAGGAGTGGAAGAAACACGCAGACACAATGAATCGTCGATGTCCATGAAATCATTGGAAAAATAGGAAGTGGGGGGGAAGACGAAGACTCAGAAAGCATGTCAAAAGATGGGGAATCCAGGGATGTGCGCCTATTTTGTGTGCCCCTGGGTGCCTTCATTCGCAGCGGTGTGCGCGCTTGGGTTTGGCCCCCCCCCCCCCCCCCGCGCCCACCAACAGCCGCGCACCAGAGGCCCTTCCTTGCCTGACCCTGAGATCGACTACACGTAAGAGTGACCCTTCGCCAGAATGACCTTTCGTGCGGGCTCCCCAGACCCCTTTGCTTTGTGAAAAAAACACGACGAGAGGTTTTCCACTGTTTTCGGCCTCCGGGAGCCCTGGCCGGGCCCCCGGACCGTCAACAAAAACATCTCTGGACGAAAACCGGTCCTGCATGGGGAAGGGGTCCAGACCTCATGGGGGTCGACGTTGTGAGCAAAATCACCATGTCGGGGGTCTGGGTCACCTGGGGGTCCCCGATCGCTGAGCGCGAAGCGATGATGGGTGCTCGCGTGCCTGGGTTTGGCCACCGTGCGTCCCCTTGATCCGCGTAGTTACTCAAGGTCACCCTTTCCTATCTTGGGCGTAGCCGATGGGATCCGACGCGGCGGAACAAGGGCAACATCGCAACAAAACATTGCGCGAGGAGCCCCAGACCCCATCGTACTGCGTCATTTTTCCGGCCGGATCGATCTGTGAGTTTTTGGGGGCCAGAGAGACAAGGCGAAGGCGCCCGTCTCGAACAAAAAAATGGAGGCGCCATGATCTCAGGGAGGGTCTCGTGCGTGTAGCCGATCTCACTTCCCCCTTCGGGCTCGCCGCCGAACGCCGTCGGTCTGTCTGGGCGCGCGCGGCGGGGGCCCGGGACCAGTGCCCGCGCCCCCTCAGCCCAGGAAAGGCGGGGGCTCGTGCACGCCTGCCCTGTGGGCACAGGCTTATGTTCAGCAGCACATCATGGGATCCTCGTGTACCCTCGCAAGTCTGTCTTTGGCGTCGACTTGCGTCTGGGAGTCGACGAGGTAGCACCGACCTGGCGTCGGCTAGCGTCGATGTGCGTCGATCTAGCGCTTGCTAGCGTCGATGTGGCGTCGATGAGCGCCGATTTAGCCTCGACCAGCGTCGATTCGCAAGAGCCAACCAGATGGTATGGGAGGCTCCCCTGAGGTGCAACCGGAGGGGGGGCTCGTGCACGCCTGCCCCGTGGGCACAGGCTTGTGCCTTGCGCAAGGGGCGGCGTGCACGCACAGTCGAGGGCGGCTCGTGGGTCGAGCCTGCCACGCCAAAAGCGCACGGGTGCCCAGACCCTCTCGGGCTGCGGCAAGAGTCTCGGGGGCGGCAAAGAGGGGGGTGATGACTAGGGGGGGGTGGATATCATGGCGGGGGCCATGATATTTCCTCAGATGTTATGGCGCCTCCTCGTGTTTCATTACGTCCCTGGCCCCCCCCCCTGGGCCGCGCACATGCCGCCGGTCATGATTTGCACCCCCCCCTCTTGGACACCCCCCTCTTGGCCGCTCCCGAAAGTCACGACGGCTTGTTTTTGGCAAGTTTCTGCCTCCGGGGGCCCTCACCTGGCCTCGGGACCGCCTATAAAAACGACCGAGGATGCAGAGCTGGTCCCGGGCACGGGGCCCAGACCTCCAGGGGCCCCGTTCTGAAAAAAGCACGACGTCGGATCGGTGGCCTTCGGAAGGGTCGTTGTGCCCTCTCGCGCGTCCTATCCAATCAGCCCCGACTGTAGTATGCGCACGGACATCTGAATGTTGGTGTTGTTGCATTTGTTTCCATGCGCGGCCCAAGGTCCCAACCTCCTCCCCGGCGGTTAGGCTTTCGTCTCAAGGCACGTTCTTGATTGCCCCAGGGCACGACAGCGGCACCCAGAGGTCCACGTCGCGGAAGAGCGCCAGCATTGGAACACAAATCGACCTTTCGCCGGATGGACTTTTGGTGCGGCCCCGCTGGGCTTTCCCGACCGCTAAGACCGATGCGGTAGCAGCGGCTCGCACGCTCGGTTCTGGCCCCCGCTTCTGCCCCCCGAAAGCTGCGCACCGAGCCCTGAGATCCGACGCTGCGAACCTATGCAGCATCAAGAAAGCATCACGACCGCAGCCCAGGACCCCATTTTTCTGCTGCATCTTTGGCAGGCCAGATCGACCTGTGATGATCCCGAGGGCCCGACACCGGGCGCGAACGCCCGGTGTGAACAGAGCTGCGGCGCCCAGCTCCCCCCTTGGCATCGCTCGGACGTGTGCGTGTTGTCTCGGCGAGGACCACCGCGGAGCATGTGGGGCCATCTTGCGAACAAGCACGCGCAGGAGATCGAGACATCCACGGGGAATGGGCGAACGACCCAGACCCCCCGACGCCGTGATTTTTTTGCACAACGCCGACCCCAGAGGTCTGGACCCCTTCCCCGGGCCTGGCTTCTCGCCCTGCGTCGTCTTTTGACGGTCCGGGGGCCCGGCGAGGGCCCCCAGAGGCCGAAAACAGAAAAAAAAAAAAAACTCCCGTCGTGCTCCTTCACAGCGCGAGGAAGTCTGGGAATGGGCGTCCGAGCGATATATATATATATATATATATATATATAGCGAGGTCTTGGCCAGGCCCACCCCGGCGCGCAGCCAGGCCCCAGGCGTGGAGCGGTCGTCGCCCGAGCCTCCGGTGTCCCCGCGGGGCGGCGGCGGCCGAGGCCCTGCGGGGGCCCCCGCCGGCGGCGCGGCGGGGCCCGCGTCGCCAGCGCCCACGCGGAGGCGCTGGTAGGAGTCGGGGGCGGCTCACTCGACCAGACGTAAGAGTGACCTTTCGCCGGAGTGACCTTTGGTGCGGGCACAGATGGGTCCCCAGATGGCTGAAAACGAAGCAGGAGCAGCGGCTTGTGCGCCCAGGTTTGGTCCCCCCGCGCGCCCCAACAAAGCCGCGCACCAAAGGTCACTCTTACCCAGGGTCACTCCTGCGTGTAGCCGACTCAAGAGGGGGGTGCTGTCGGGGGCGGACAGGCCTCCTGCCCGGACACGTCGATCAAGGAATCGGCCGTTTGCGGTTCGCGAGAGGGCGTCGCGGCCGTCATTTTTGCGGGTCCAGGTCCGTCGGTTTCGGTCCCAGGCAGTTTTCACTAAAGGGAGGTTTGCTAAATGGAGGTTCGTCCACCGCCGATGATGGCCCAAAGCCCCTGCAGACAGGGGTGTCGGTGAACGGGGTGGTAGCTTGTCAAGGGGCCTCCACGAGCGAGCACAGGGCGACAGGACATCTACCTCGCACTGGTGCGTGGTGATTCGAGACGGCAAAGTCGTCGACGCAAAATCATAGCTCTGGACGGGGGGGGGCCTCGCACTTCTTATTCGCGGCAAATCAAGTTTTGGAAGGCACAATTGAAAACGCACCCTTAGCCACCACCCCGTCTACAAACACTCAGCTTGCAGGCCCTGGGGTTTGGTGACGGGGAGGGTGGGATATCATGACGGGAGCCATTAGATCTCCCCAGATTTCATGGCGCCTCTTCTTACTTACATACGTCCCCGCCCCCCCCCCCCCCCCAATGGGCCGCGCACGTGCCGCCAGCCATGATTTGCGCCCCCCCCTCTTGGACGCCCCCCCTCTTGGACGCCCCCGAAGGAGGGCCGCCCCGACGGTGCCGCGCCCTTGTCTTCGAAGAAGAAGGAAAACTCGCCGCCAGCATAAACTTTTGGCGCTCCACGCGGATTTGTTGGATCGGCGCTGGGACCCCCTCGGCGGCGCCTCTGGCGCCGCCCCTGGCGCGCTCCGCGCGCCAGGGAGGCGGGTCCAGCGCAGATCCAAGAATTTTGCGTGGAGCGCCAAAAGTTTATATTTACGCAGTTATTCCTCCTTCTATGGAGGGCCGGCCCGACGGTGCCGCGCTCTTCCCGAGCTTGGGCTCGTCGCACGCCACGCTGCTGCACAGCCGCCGCTCGAGTCGGACCACTCGCGCAACACGCTGCAGAAGCTCTGGCCACGCGAAGCTGGTGGCGCTGCACGCCATGATGATCAGGTTGCGTCTTCGGTGGACCTCGTCTGTCCCCCAACTTGGTACCGTTTCTTGTGCCCGACGCGGATTGGATGCGGACTCGATGCGGAGTTGGCTCGGATTCCACGTCGGTCTCAACGCGGATTTCCACGCGGACTCGACGAGCCCGGCACGGATTCGACACGGATTCGATGCGGATAAGGGGCGAGACGGGGCAGTGAAGGCCCCCCGAAGATGCAACGTCATGTTCTGCATCGCGGGCGGAAGACATGTCCGTGTCCGCGGCCTTGCGGGCTGGGCCGCGCCCCGCCGGACACTGTTAGTTACCTAACAGCGAAGACTGATAGGTTTCTAGTGGTCTCAAAAGAGCTCACAGATCACTCCACAGGGGGGTCCGGGCAGGTGTTGGGGCGTTTCCGGGCGGCATGAGCCGGGCTCGTTTTTCACCAACAGTCACACACTTCGTGCTCTTCGCCTTCCCAGAACTCCATTCCCAGGCCACATTCTGGGGGGCCGGATGCAACAGTCACACACAAAGTGCTCTTCGACATCCCAGAACGCCATTCCCGGGCCACATTCTGGGGGGCCGGATGCAACAGTCACACACTTCGTGCTCTTCGAGTTCCCAGAACGCCATTCCCGGGCCACATTTTGGATGCCCGGAGCCAACTGTAGGCCACTTCGTGCTCTTCTATTTCCCAGAACTCCATTCCCGGGCCACATTTTGAATGCCCGGAGCCAACTGTAGGCCACTTCGTGCTTTTCTATTTCCCAGAACTCCATTCCCGGGCCACATTTTGAATGCCCGGAGCCAACTGTAGGCCACTTCGTGCTCTTCGAGTTCCCAGAACTCCATTCCCGGGCCACATTTTGAATGCCCGTAGCCAACTGTAGGCAACTTCGTGCTCTTCGACTTCCCAGAACTCCCATTCCTGGGCCACATTTTCAGCAGGGGCAAGAGCACGACGAGGAGGAGGACGAGCAAGACCAGGAGGACGAGGACGAGCAGGAGCAGGACGAGGAGCAGGAGGAGCAGGAGAAGAAGGACGAGCAGGAGGAGGAGGAGGACGAGCAGGAGGAGGAGGACGACCAGGAGGAGGAGGACGACCAGGAAGAGGAGAGGAGGAGGAGGAGGGGAGGGGGAGGAGTACCAGGAGGAGGAGGAGGAGGAGGAGGAGGAGGAGGAGGAGGAGGAGGAGAGAGGAGGGAGGAGGAGGAGGACGAGGACGAGGAGGAGGAGGAGGAGGGGGGGGGGAGAGTACCAGGAGGAGGAGAACGAGGACCACCAGGAGGAGGAGGAGGAGGAGGAGGAGGAGGAGGAGGAGGAGAGAACACCAGGAGGAGAAGGACGAGCAAGACGAGGAGGACGAGAACGAGGACGACCAGGAAGAGGAGGAGGAGGAGGAGGAGGAGGAGGGGAGGGGGAGGACTACCAGGAGGAGGAGGAGGAGGAGGAGGAGGAGGAGGAGGAGGAAGAGGAGGAGGAGGACGAGGAGGAGGAGGAGGAGGAGGACGAGGAGGAGGAGGGGGGGGGAGAGCACCAGGAGGAGGAGAACGAGGACCACCAGAGGAGGAGGAGGAGGAGGAGGAGGAGGAGGAGGAGGAGCACCAGGAGGAGGAGGGCGAGCAAGACGAGGAGGACGAGAACGAGGACGAGCAGGAGGAAGAGGAGGAGGAGGAGGAGGAGGAGGAGGAGGAGGAGGAGGAGGAGCAGGAAAAAGAGGGAGGAGGAGGAGGCAGGCTGAGGCTGAGGCTGTGACTGCGACTGCCGTTGCCGCTGCGACTGTCATCGCGAATGCGACTACGACTGCGAGAACAGCAGAATTCGACAACTGGATTTTCATCTGAATCTTAAGGGGAATGCTTTCAGATATGCTTCTACACATCGCTGTTAGGTTGCTTTGCCGGGATAATTTTTTCTGTTCGCGGATGCCCCGCGCGGAACGTATCCGTGCGACCGCGTCTCCCCGGATCGCGCCCCAGAGCCCAGACCGCGGGACGGCTCTGTCCGCCGCTCGTGATCGCAGAAGCTCCCTTGCCCACGCGACGCCGGTGGAGCAGGGAGAAGGCGGGGGAGGAGGCGGAGGCGGGGGCGGAGGAGGAGGCGGAGGAGGAGGGGGATGAGACGGAGGAGAAGGCGGAGGAGGAGAGGTGGAGAAGGAGGAGGAGGAGGAGGCGGAGGCGGAGGCGGAGGAGGCGGAGGAGGAGGCGGGGGCGGAGGAGACGGAGGAGGAGGAGGAGACGGAGGAGGAGGAGGAGGAGGAGGAGGAGAGAGGAGGAGGAGGAGGAGGAGGAGGAGAGGAGGAGGAGGAGGAGGAGAGGAGGAGGAGAGGAGGAGGAGGAGGAGGAGGAGGAGGGGAGGAGGGGAGGCGGAGGAGGAGGAGGGGAGGCGGAGGCAGAAGCTCTGGCCGCCACGCGAAGCTGGTGGCGCGGCACGCCACCGTGAGCCGAGCTGCGTGGAGGGCGGCGCTCGCTGCAGACGCGGGCCCGCGGGGCCCCCTCGCGCGGTGCCCCGCCGCCGCGGCTGCTCGGGCCGGCCGCCTCGGCAAGAACCGCCCCCTCGCGGCGGCCCAGACGAGAGCAGTGGCGGAGCGTCCTGGCTCGCCTCAGCGGCCCACCAGCGCATGTTCTAAGAACCTCTTGTGGTCTGCATGACATGTTATATATATATATATATATATATATATAAAAACTGTCCGACCGAGACCATCATGTGTTACACATCGGGCGTATGTTCTTAGAGCATGTTGGCTTGTTTTTCGAACAGGTTTGAGTTCTGACAGCATGTCGTTGTAGGCCTATAGGAATGCCGGGGCGGTCGGTCCCTGCTGAGCAGAGACCTCTGGGGGGCGCCCGCGCAGCGAGAGAGAGAGGCACGGCGTCGGCTGCTCGCGGGCGTTGCCGATTGCTTCCGCGCCGGGCGGCTTCGCCCAGTCTCGGGCCCCGGGGCCATCACAGGTCGACCGAGCTCAAGCAAGGCCGCAGGAAGTTGAGGTCTCGGGTTCCGGCGGAGATGTTATTTTCATCGCTTCGCTCATTCCGCCGGCCCTCGAGCGCTCTATGGGGCCTCTTTGAAGCCTCTTGGGGGCCTCTTTGGGGCCTCCTAGGGGCCTCTTGGGGGCCTCTTGGGGGTCTCTTGGGGCTCCTTGGCGGCGTCTTGAGGCCCCCTTGGGCCTCTTGGGGGGCTCTTGGGGGGCTCTTGGGGCGGGGTAGTCGAGTGCACCCCCCTCGGAGGCCACGATCCTCGTGAGGGGTGTCGAAAAGAGGACCTTGAGGTCTCGGGCTCCGGCTGAGATGTTATTCTCGCGGCGTTTCGCCAGGTCTCGGGCCCTGGGGCCATCACAGGTCGGCCGAGCCGTGCTCGAGAAATGCCGCAAGAAGTTGGAGTCCAGGGCTCCGGCTGGGGATGTCTCGTCACGCTGCGGCAGGAGCGGCGTCGATTGTTCCCCGGGATCCCGGCGTTGCACTTTTGGTGCAGTTTCTGATCAGGCTCCGGCAAGCTGGGACTCGACTGCGCGCCTTTTCGGCCCAGGGTTGTTCGAAAAGGCGGCGGAAGGGGGGGTGGGTATGCCATGCGAGTATACTCGCATGGCATACCCACCCCCAGACAACCAAGGACATCAGCAAACCCTTCAGAAGCGCTAGAAAACCTTCCTTCCGGAAGGTGCGGAAGGTGGAGGGCGAGGTTACGTTTGCCAGAACCTGACTTCATTCTAGAGCGTTCAACAAGACAGTCAACCCGCAGAATAAGGATGGGTAACCTTCCCAAGGCTACCCTTGCATCCTTGCCTCATCGGTCAAATCCTTCGACACTTGCGTGGGCCGCGCCCCGCTCGAAAAGCTTCGAAATGGGCGTCCAAGGCCGGTGCATCCTTACCACGCATCCTTTTGGTACGGGCTTTCTGTGGGAATCCAGACGTATATATATAGACATATCACATATATAACATATGTGTATATATATGTATATATATATTGTTTTGTCTGCTGAAAACCTCAGCTGAAATTTAGCTGTCGGGGTCCTTGTGATGTGTTCTTGCCCTGCAGGACGGTCTGGGCGCACACGAGGAATCGTTCCCTTCCTCGCGCCGGGCGCTGCCGCCCGGCTTCGGGCCACACAGGCGCCATCACAGGTCGGTCCGGCTCGAGAGCTGCCCAAATCCTCCGCCTCCTCCTCCTCCTCCTCCTTCTCCTCCTCCTCCTCCTCCTCCCCCTCCTCTTCCTCCTCGTACCTCCTCCTCCTCCTCCTCCTCCTCCTCCTCCTTCTCCTCCTCCTCCTCCTCCTCCTCCTCCTCCCCCTCCTCCCAAATACCTGCCGCGACGAAGTCCGGCCTCTGGTCGAACGGGCGAGCCGTAAGCGAACGGAGCGAACGAAGCGAGCGAGCCGACGACGGCCTTGAAGCCCTCGCCCGGACCCCGACGCGCCGTCTCTCTGTTGCCGAAGTTTGCTTTTCTCGCCCTGGTCGCGACCGGCATTCGGCGCGCCCGACGTCCGTGACCGAACATTTCTGGTCGCGGATATGGTCTGGGCCGGGGGCTCCGGCCGTGATTTTTCGCCGCGACGTCATCCCCTCATTTTCTCGGGCCGGACGAAAGGGGGGGATTGGGAAAGGGGGGCCTACGAAATTTGCTGCATGCAGCTGGTTTCGGCCCCACCGAGGGGCCCATTCCTCGATACATGGGCGCCTCCGGCGCCGGCAGGCGCCGGGAAAATCAGCTACGCGAGCTGATTCTCAGACCCCCCCTTTGCTATCCCCCCCTTTCGCCCGACCCGAATTTCCCAACGCCGAGCCCTATAGAGGTCTCGACCCCTTCTCCGGCACAAACACTGAAGCACCTGCCGCCGTGTGCTTTCCATGGCCCGGCCTGGCCGCCCCGGGCGCCCCGCTGCGGCCCCCACGGCGAAAGCGCAGCGGTTCCTGCCCCGCCTCCCGCTGCCGCTCCTCTCCTCCCCCCCTCCCTCCCCTCTCCTCCCTCCCTCCCCTCCCTCCCCTCCCCTCCCCCTCCTCCCCCTCCCTCCCCCTCCCTCCCCCTCCCTCCCCCTCCCTCCCCCTCCCTGCCCTCGTGCCTCCGGGCTGTGCGCAGCGCCGTCGCCCGGCCTGCCCGAGCGCGCGCGTGGACAGCATACCTGCGGCGCTGCGGCGTAGGAAAAGTTGTGCATGGCCCGAGGGGGTCTGGGTCTGAGGGTTAAGTCGGGCCTGTCCCCATACAGGGGGATTTTCGACGAAAAATAAAACATGCCCCAAAAATAATAAAAAATAGCCCAACAATAGCCCAGGATTTTTTTTGTATTATTTGTTGACCTTTTGGGGGGTATTGTTGGGGTATTTTTTATCCTTCGTCGAAAATCTCCTTGTAAGGGGGACACGCCCGACATAGTCTCAGGGCCCCGCGGCGGCAGTGTGCGCCTTGGCTGCCGGCCGTGGCGGCGGCCTGCGGCGCGTGCCTGCCCAGGCGGTCGCGTCGAAGAGGGGAAGAGTCCGCGGGGATGGCGCGGTGCCCTCGCCTCGCACGGGAGCGCCGGGGGGCACGTGTACACGTCGCCGCGCCGCTTGTTCGGGCACGCGGCCTCCCAACCCCCCTTCCCAGCGTTGTGACATCACGAGGGGAGGTTTTTCGGTAGTTTCGGCCTCGCGGGCCTCGGGACCGTCAGAAAACGATTCAGGATGGAAAGTTGGTCCTAGGGAAGAGGTCCAGGCATCTGTGGGCCGACGTTGTGAAACAAAAATCACGACGTCGGGGGCCTGGGCTTGCGTCTCGGAGAGGGCGCCGCGGCCACCAGGGCAAACACAGCCTCAGTCGCGGTGGGTTTGCCGTGGGGTTTGCCGCGGCGCCAGCCTCGTCTATTTGGGGCGCGGGGCGCAGGGTTTGCCGCGGGCCGCGGGTTTGCCAGTCGGCGCCGTCCACTTGTTCGCGTATAGAGCACACGGCGCGGCGACACATTTTTGTGTCCAGGGGTATGAGGCCCGAGGGCTCGTATGGTCGGGCTGCTGTGTTGCCTCGCATTTGTTCCGATTTCGATTACTCCTCCTCTTCCTCCTCTGCCCTCTCTTCCTCCGCCTCCAGCAAGGCGTGAGTGTGCAACCCCGACTTGCCTGGCTGATGCTCTGGGGGGGGGGGGGGGGGGGGGGGGGGGGGGGGGGGCTGCGCTCTGGAGGGGCTACAGCCCCGCTCAACGGTGTGCTGCTTAACCAAACCTGCAATGTGGGTCCCTTCTCGCTGCTCGGTTCCAGCGGGGCTTCTTCAGGCCCCCATGCTGACGCGCGCCTCCTCCTCTTCCTCCTTAAGTTACGCTGGTTCGCGGTGTTGAAGTAATTACCAGGAATAGCGTTCTGGCACGATGAAGATCATCAAGACGCAACAGTCAGATTGATTCGTGGCGTTGAAATGTCGAGAATGGTGACTGGCACGCTTCAGGATCTTCAAACGGTTTTCTCCCAACAGGGCACTTCCTTCAGTGGAACGGAATCCTTCTAGGGGCCTACGAAGATGGAGCTTGGAGGGAGGGTTTATTCCAACACCGTTGATGAGACTTGGGTGTGCTCTCGTCCTCCTCCTGCTGCTGCTGCTGCTCTTCCTCCTCCTCCTCCTCCTCCTCGCCCCCTTCAAATGCAGTGCCCTCTGGGCGCCGGGCTCCCCGCCCGAGGCGCGCGCGCGCGCCTGATGCGCGTGCACGCCCCGGCTCGGAGATTCTTCGTCGCGAGAGCTGGGGGGGCGGCAAAGGCCCGGATCTCCGACAGGAGGGAGGTTCGGGGGGTCAGGTCGAAGCGCGACGGAGTGAGGATGCCAACACGTATTATAAGCATAAATGTTCGGAGGTTTTTGCGGACATTTCGAATTGCCCAGATCTCCGACAGGAGGGAGGTTCGTGGGGTCAGGTCGAAGCGAGACGAGTGAGGAAACCAAAACATAGTATAAGCATAAGTGTTCGGAGAGCTGGGGGGGCGGCAAAGGCCCAGATATCCGACAGGAGGGAGGTTCGGGGTCAGGTCGAAGCGAGACGGAGTGAGGATACCAAACCATATGATAAGCATAAGTGCTCGGAGGTTTTTGCGGCATTTTCGGGTTGGCGCTGGAGGCCCCCTGGGGGCGCCTCCAGCTTCGCCCCTGGCGCGCTCCGCGCGCCAGGGAGGGGGTTGCCCCGCGCAGATCCACGAAATCCATTTGGACCTCCACCAGTTCACGTTTATGCAACTGTCTTGTAGCCCGAGGAGACGCCCAACCAGGAAATCGATTCGTGTCATGCGTGACGCGCGTGCGGGCGAGGCGAGGCAAAAGCAGGTCGAGCTCTTGCTCCAGCAAAGGCTGGGTGAGGCCAAAATGATGCCAGTGTGTGTGTGTGGGTTGTCCCGATGGTTGTCACGGTGGTTGCCCCGACGGTTGTCACGATGGTTGTCCCGATGGTTATCCCGATTGCTGTCCCGATGGTTATCCCGACGGTTGTCACGATGGTTGTCCCGATGTTTGCCCCGATGGTTGTCCCGATGGTTGTCCCAGTGGTTGTCCCGATGGTTCTCCCCTATGGTTGTTTTGACGTTAATAAATCGGTCCCGACGGTGGTCCCGATGAGTTTTCCCGATGGTGGTCCCGATGGTTGTCCCGACGGTTGTCCCAATGGTTGTCTTGACGTTAATAAGTTGGTCCCGACGGTGGTCCCGATGAGTTTTCCCGATGGTGGTCCCGATGGTTGTCCCGATACTTACCCGTTACGAAAGTTATTCATCTTGAGCACTGACGATTAGGGCGTCTCCGGGTGGCCCCCCCTTCCCCCCGTAGACTCCTAGCACGGCAGTCTTCGGCCTGGCTTGGCGGGAGAGATTTCCGGGGTTCTTCCTGGTCGCATTAATAGTATATAACCAATTCAGGATAAAATCTCTCCCCCGTAAATTCACAAGGGAGAAATCACTCCCGGTCACTTCCAGGCAACTCTGAATCTCTCCCCGTATGAAACCACAAGGAAGAATCACTCCCATACCACTTCTCACCACAGCGCCCACACATGTCAGTTCTAGCCAAGATGAATTAACTTTCGTAACGGGGATGAGGACCCACGACTTTTTCACACGTCAATGTCAGCCAATGTCATGAGGAACCCAAAGTCGAAATCCGAACGGGGCCCAGCATCGCGCTCGATAGACACGTCGCCATCATCGTGCAAGCGCGCTGTGGCGGCCAAAGGCGCGGCTGTCAAGGGGTAGCGCTGGTCTCACCCTTGTAGAAGTGCAATGTAAGATACCGCTAGGATCCACGACTTCTTCACACGTCAATGTCAGCCACTGTCATGAGGAACCCAAAGTCGAAATCCGAACGGGGCCCAGCATCGCGCTCGATAGACACGTCGCCATCATCGTGCAAGCGCGCTGTGGCGGCCAAAGGCGCGGCTGTCAAGGGGTAGCGCTGGTCTCACCCTTGTAGAAGTGCAATGTAAGATACCGCTGAGGACCCACGACTTTTTCACACGTCAATGTCAGCCAATGTCATGAGGAACCCAAAGTCGAAATCCGAACGGGGCCCAGCATCGCGCTCGATAGACACGTCGCCATCATCGTGCAAGCGCGCTGTGGCGGCCACAGGCGCGGCTGTCAAGGGGTAGCGCTGGTCTCACCCTTGTAGAAGTGCAATGTAAGATACCGCTAGGACCCACGACTTTTTCACACGTCAATGTCAGCCACTGTCATGAGGAACCCAAAGTCGAAATCCGAACGGGGCCCAGCATCGCGCTCGATAGACACGTCGCCATCATCGTGCAATCGCGCTGTGGCGGCCAAAGGCGCGGCTGTCAAGGGGTAGCGCTGGTCTCACCCTTGTAGAAGTGCAATTTAAGATACCGCTTACCCGTTACGAAAGTTATTCATCTTGAGCACTGACGATTAGGGCGTCCCCGGGTGGCCCCCCTTCCCCCCGTAGACTCCTAGCACGGCAGTCTTCGGCCTGGCTTGGCGGGAGAGATTTCCGGGGTTCTTCCTGGTCGCATTAATAGTATATAACCAATTCAGGATAAAATCTCTCCCCCGTAAAGTCACAAGGGAGAAATCACTCCCGGTCACTTCCAGGCAACTCTGAATCTCTCCCCGTATGAAACCACAAGGAAGAATCACTCCCATACCACTTCTCACCACAGCGCCCACACATGTCAGTTCTAGCCAAGATGAATTAACTTTCGTAACGGGGATGTAGTTGCCCAAGTGTTGTTCCAATGATTGTCCCGATGGTGGTTCCGATGGTGGTTCGGAAGGCTTTGCGAGGCCATTCTACCGAACGAACGTGCGCTCTGAGAGGCGATGATGGGAACGCGCTCTCATATACATGCCCCCTGCTGTTTAACCACTTGGGAAAAAGGGACCTGTGGGCGAGCATATACACTCGCGCCCTGCGGGGCGAAACCCAATTTCAGATTTCTATGCACATAGTTGTAGACATATTTCTACATATGTACATATGGACAGAAGGGGCGAAAGCGTAGCTATTCATCAACGACAAGAAGTGAAGAGCCAATGCCATAGGTAGTTATGTATATATTTATATGTGCACTTACTTTGCTGAGATAGGTGGTAGACGGACGGATGATCAGTTTATTTGACTGTTGTCCCGATGATTGTCCCGATGACTGTCCCGATAGGTGGTGATTTTGGCAGACGCATTGACAATGAGTGTGGTATACAGCTAGGGGTACCGACAGATAGTGAGACCGAACGGTAGATGATGTAGCGATGGGCAAATAGATAGGCAGACCTATCTACATGCGTACTTACAAGATCGGCCAAAGGCCGATATGGAGGTTTGGGCGGGGTGGTGATGGTGGTGGAACCAACGGTGGGACAACCATCGGGACAAGCGTCTCAATGCATCGAAAAACCGTTATTGGTCTATATGTCGAGCCGACTATGTACCCATGTGCCGGTCCGATTGCCTATTTATCGATTGCCATGTATCAATCACTGCAGCTGTATACATCATCAGTCGATGTGTCGGCCTAGCATTCGGCCTCACTATCCTTCTATCGATTCCACCATCAATCAAGCCACCATCGGAACGCCCATCGGGAAAACCCTCGGGACAACCATCGGGACAACCATCGGGTTAACCATCGTGGCAACCATCGGGAACACCTCGCTTGGTTGGTCGATTTTCAGATCTCACTGTCTATTCACCACTGTCGGTCTAACTGTATTGTTGCTGGCTGGCATCACAGTCTCTCTCTCTCTCTAGATATATCTCTCTATATCTATATGTACAGACATCTCACCATCCATCTTTCGATCTCTCTGCCTTCAACCGCTCTCATTGACGATACATCGACCGCACGATTGATATTTCGTTCGACCTTGTTTCAGGCCATGCAGTCAAGACGCATAGTAAGAATGAGCAATTGTCAAAGGCTACCCTTGCATCCTTGGCTCTTCGGCCCATCGTTGCCGAGTTTCGCTGGCCAGCCACCCTCGAAAAAAAAACAACATAGCCCTCCAAGGCCCTCGCATCCTCACCGCGCATCCTCATTCTGCTACTTGACTTTGATATCGACCGATCGATCTCACCATCAATCCATCAATATGATTACCATCGGGGCAACCATCGGGACAACCATCGCGACAACCATAGGGGAAAACCATTAGGACAATCGTCGGGGCAATTCGATTTTTCAAATTCTCGACGATTCGCGTAACCCCACCAGCCCATTGCCCACCCCCAGATTAATGTGGAGCATTTTGCTCATTGCATGTGCACACCTCGCATTCTCTGCGACTTCTTACTGCAGGTGCGTTGTCTGTTGTAGCTAAGTAGCCTCGCCTGCTGGCCCAGACGACGCCTTCCGCTCCCTGTCCGCCGCCTGGGAGCCGCCGACCAAAAAAGTAACCCCACCAGCCCATCCAGAGACGATGCCCAGAGGAGTGGCCTCGATCAGGGAAGTGGATCCTTCCTCTGGCGGGCCCTCGGCTCGCGGCACCCGTGCCAGTCGCACTCCGCTCCCCCGCCCCCCCACCCCCAGGGCTCGTTTCGATATCTCCGATTCGATTCGGTTTCGATTGCTTCCGCTTCCGATTCGATTCGACGTGGGATTCCGATCTGGGCTCCGACTTCTCAACGGAGGCCTGCTGGCCTGCCGATTTCTTCCGCCGATCCGACCTCTGCCGACTCGGCTGCCAGTTTCGGCCGATCCGACTCCCTTCGATCGCCGACCCGGCTTATCGCGAAGTGGCCCGCACGCGAGAGACGGAGGAGGAGGAGGAGGAATGAATGAATGAAGGTTTTTTTCTGGTGCCGCTCACTTCACCCACGTACTTTGGCCCCCCTTTGCGCTTTAGGCAGTAATTCAGGCTCCTCATCACCATGTTTTGGTGCGCGCTTTGCGCGGCTGCAGCGATCCACTGCGTTTGCTGTTGCCTCTCTCTTCCACCGTCCACTTGTCTTCCTTTCCCATCCTGTTCTATGAGCTTCGACCTTCCTGCTCGCCACCGACCGACCGACCGACCGACCGACCGACCGACCGACCGACCGACCGACCGACCGACCGACCGACCGACCGAGGAGGAGGAGGAGGAGGAGGAGGAGGAGGAGGAGGAGGAGGAGGAGGAGGAGGAGGGGAGGAGGAGGAGGAGCAGGAGGAGGGAGGAGGAGGAGGAGGAGGAGGAGGAGGAGGAGGAGAGAGGAGGAGGAGGAGGAGGAGGAGGAGGAGGAGGAGGAGGAGGAGGAGGAGGAGGAGCGATGCGCTCCTGGGCGCTCCTGCCCCCGCAGGGGCCGCCGCCCTGGGAGCCGCGGGTCCGCGGCCTGGCTGGCCCGGGGGCCGCCCGCGTCGCGGCGCGCCCTCCCCCTTTGCCCGCCCCCTCGCTCGGCCCCGCGCGGCCCGCCGCCACAGGGGGAGGAGGGAGGAGGAGGGAGGAGGAGGGAGGAGGAGGAGAGGAGGAGGGAGGAGGAGGGAGGAGGGAGGAGGAGGGGAGGAGGAGGAGGATGAGAGGAGGAGGAGGAGGAGGAGGAGGAGGAGGAGGGAGGGAGGAGGAGGAGGAGCAGGAGGTGGAGGAGGAGGAGGAGGAGGAGGAGGAGGAGGAGTGAGGGAGGAGGGAGGAGGAGGGAGGGAGGAGGAGGAGGAGGAGGAGGAGGGAGGAGGAGGGAGGGAGGGTGCTCAGCAGCAGGCGCATGCGACGGGAGCCAGCGGAGGTCACCCCCAACCAAAAACCACCCCAACCCCATCCCGAAGGCCTCACTTTGCCCTCCATGTCCAGTGGGGGGGGTCAGGCAACACCGACAAAAAGCACCTATGGAGCCCATACCCCCCCCCCCTCCCACCCGAAATGCGGGTCTTCGGGTTGGGTTGGGGTGGTCTGGTGGGTAGTCAGGACGGGAGCCCAGAGCCCCTCGCGGGGCGAAACAAAGAAATCACGACGCGAGGCGCTTCTTCGCCGTTTTCGGCGTCCCGGGGCCCTGACCCGGTTCTCGGGACCGTGGAAAAATTGGGGGCGGCAGAGAGGGGGGCGATGACTAGGGGGGGTGGATTTCATGGCGCGTGCCATGATTTTTCCTCAGATTTCAGGGCGCCTCTTCTTATTTCATTACGTCCCTGGTCCCTCCGCTGGGCCGCGCACATGCCGCTGGTCATGATGTGCACTCCCCCTCTTGGACACCCCCCTCTTGGCCGCTCCCAAAAAAACGGCGCAGGATGAAAAACCAGTCCCGGGGATTTAGGTCCAGACCTTTGGGGTTCGACGCGGTGAAGATATCACGACATCAGGGGTCTGGCAAGGCACCCATACGACTACCCGTGCCTCGTTTTCCCCTCTTTGGGCCTTTTGGGAGGCCCTCGTGGCCCTCGCTGGATTCGCGTCGAAGTTCTGGTCAGAACGCACCTCGGGAGAGGTCTTCCGGGGAGTATCGGTATCGGCACCGCTTGGTTTCTCCAAAGACATCCCAGTCTAAGACATCGATCCCTGGAACAGTACGGTAGGTTTGGTCGCTGAGGAAAGTGCCCAGAAGGCTGGATGGCCTGTAGGGTCTTCCTGGTCTGCCGAGGGCGTTGGTGATCTGTATGGCCACTCCACGGCTGGAGTTCCACTGGCTTCCAGGCTCTGGATTCATGATCCAAGGGCTACCTTAGTTGCCTCGATACGCCCGTTTTGAAATGCAATACGTCCCGTGTTCAAGACGTCCGTGTCAATACGTTGCGTGTTGGCTCCACGTATTGGACCGCGTGTTGGCGAACGTATCGCGTCGGACCTACGTTTTCAGCCTACGTGTTGAGCTCCGTATCAATGCGATAATTACGTGTTGCGTGTTGCGTATCGGGGCAGCTAAGCTACTGATCCAATGCCCTCGGTGTAAGACATACCAGTCTCAGAAACCGAACCCTGGAGAAGTAGTGCAGCCCTCGCGCGCAGTTCGTCTCCCCGCGCCCCTCCATGTCCGTGTTCGCGGGGGGAGGGGCCCGTGTGACGTCGCGATCTGCGCCGGCGCCGCCTGGGAATGCTCAAGAGTGGCGCATTGCCACACGGCGCCCGCGCGACTCGTGTCGTGACCAGGGCGGGGAAGGGAGGGCGGGCTGGTCACGGGCGCTACAGTCAACGCGCCTAGTAAGGACGCGCGCCTTCATCTAGGATACCCGTGCGTCCTTGCCTCTGTGGCCCGTCCTTTGCCGTTTTCACTGGTCGCCGCCGCCCAAAAAATTCCAACTTCAGCCTCCAAGGGTCTTGCGTCCTTACAACGCGTCCTTAATATACGTTTTGACTGTACCCCGCATACGTAATTAAAACATTGGCTCTCAGAGTCCAAGAGATCCCAGTCTGACAAGCCGAACCTGGAAAAGCAATGCAGCCCCTGGCCCCCAGGAAGGTTAGAGAAATAGCGCCAGGGCCTCGACGTCCAAATCCCCTGTCAAGGTTTTGTTGGGCAGTCGAGATGAGTCTGTAGGTCTGGGGGGCTATTTCTTGGCCCTCTGGAAGGTCAGGGGAGGGAGTGGTCCAGATCGCCTGGGGAGGAAAGCAGGCCAACAACGATGACGACGGCGGCGACGACGTTGTCGGTCCCTAGGCCCTAGGCCCCTCCCGGGGTCCATCCCGGGTGGCCTATCGTGCCGGATTAGACTCTTGACGGCCTCTCGGGGCCCGCGAGGGGGCCCCGAGAGGCCGAGAATCGCGACGACGTCGACGACGACGACGACGACGACGGAAGTGGTCCAGATTGCCCGGGGCCGACGTCACGAACGAGAGCTGCAGCGCCGGAGGGCACACGGTGGGAGGGGCATGGCACCACGGGCACTTCGCACGCCGAGCGGCGACGCCGCACCAGAGGTACGGCAGGGAGGCGCCCGCTGACCTCGCGCGGCTTCGGCAGCAAATCGTGGGGGCCTTGTGTCACCAGCCTCAAACGTATCCCTATCCCTAAGATTGACACGCCAAAAGGCGATGACAATCTTAAGGATGCGCCCTCAAAAAAATAAGGGAATCCCTCAGATTGGCATCGTGATGAGGAGATGCCCAACATAGGGATAGGGATATGTTCCAGGCTGGTAAAATCATGGGAGCCTTGTGTGCCCTCGCAATTTTCTCTGTAGCGTCGACTAGCGTCGATGAGCGTCTGGGAGTCGATGGGATGTGTCGACTGATTGAGCGTCGACTAATTCGCCTCGATTCGCGTCGATTCGTGAGAGCCGACAAGATGGCATGCGAGGCCCCCACGAGTTGCCACCGAACGAGTTCGAGCGAAGCAGCGGGCCCCCGCTCTCCAGGGAAGCATGCGGTATAAGATCGAGGTCGGCTTGGGGAAGGTGCCCTCGTGTTCTTCGCGTTTGTTGGATGTGCCCACGTCTGCGCGCTTCCCCCTCCTAACCCTCGCGCGGCCGCCCTCGTCTTGGTTCCTTCCCCTTGCACGCCAGAGAATTCGCCTCTCGGTTGCCCCAATCAGCCGCACGCTGGTGCGGACTGCCTCTGCCTCGCCGCCGACGGAAAAAAGGCGTGGTTGTTGGATGCTCTTGCGCATCCTGGGGCAGGCACGCTCGAATGCTCTGCCAGGTTGGCTGGCGGAGGGCCTCGTGTTCTTGAGGGTGGTTCTCCTGGCCCGGGTCCGACTGAAGTTGGCCCAGCGATTGCAGTCGCAGTCGCCGCCATCTCTGCCAATCCTCCTGGTGGAGGGGGGTCTCCGAAGGGCTTAGGCGACCCGTCCTCCTCTCTCCTCCTCCTCCTCTCCTCCTCCCTCCTCCTCCTCCTCCTCCTTCCTCCTCCTCCACCTCTCCTCCTTCCTCCTCCTCCTCCTCCTCCTCCTCCTCCTCCTCCTCTCCTCCTCCTACCTACTACTACTCCTACCTCCTACTCCTTCCTCCTCCTCCTCTCCTCCTCCTCCTCCTCCTCCTCCTCCTCCTCCTCCTCCTCCTCCTCCTCCCTCCTCCCCTGCCGCTCCTCGCAGAGTGTGGTGCCAGAGGACGGCGGGGCGGGGGGGGAGCATCGACCCCCCCCCCTGGAGGATGGGAGGAGGTGGAGGAGGAGGAGGAGGAGGAGGAGGACGAGGACGAGGACGAGACGAGGACGACGAGGAGGACGGCGGGGCGGGGGGGAGCATCGCCCCCCCCCCCTTCCCCATCGTTCCTCGCCGATCGGGGCCCGGACGCCCTGCCGGGCCCCCATCGGGCCGTCAAAGAGCCGCCCGGGGACGAGAGGCCGTCCCTGCGGAAGTGGTTGGGGATCCCGCAGTGAAAGTCAAGACGTCAGATCTCAGGAGGAGGAGGAGGAGGAGGAGGAGGAGGAGGAGGAGGGATGAGGAGGAGGAGGAGGAGGAGGAGGAGGAGGGAGGAGGAGGAGGAGGAGGAGGAGGAGGAGGAGGAGTTGCCCCATTGCCTGGCCTGCTCTGCCCATCTCTTCGCCGTGCTCTCTTCCTGTCTCGCTCCTGCCATTTGTCGCCCTCTGCGCAGTGTTGAAATGTGCATTCACGATCGGAGGAGGAGGAGGAGGAGGAGGGGGAGGAGGAGGAGGAGGAGAAGGAGAGCAGGACAAGAAGGACAACAGTGTCATGTTGATTAACGGTCCTGCAAGGACGGTTGCATGGGGAAGTGCGTACAACCCAGACTCCTGGTGGCTCAAACAATCGCGCGGTCGGCCTCGCACAACTTTCGGCCATGGCATACCTACAAAATGCCCAGGATGAAACACATGTGGTCCGTATTGACCACATCGTGGCGTTGGAGGTTTGACTGAGCATGGCGTCGCCTCAGGAACTCGACTGGGAGTCTCTAGGCGTCGAGGTCGTGCCATGGTGGGCCAGGCCTTGGATACGACGAGCACAAGGGGAGCCGCAAGCAGGAGGAGCGCATGCCAGGGATGGCCACCAGCTCCAAGAAAGTCGTAGGAGGCCTCCGAATTACCCTACTCGGGCTCACAAGGGCCACGAGAGGGACTGTCTTGGAGCTCCGTTCGAACCTTTTCGGGCCTCAGGCTTGTCTTCGGCAGTCTCGGGGCGTTTTTTGGGCCGTCTGAAGCCTTCGGAGGACGTCTTGGGGCCTCTCTGGGCCATCCTGGGGACTTCTTGGAGTTCTTCGGGGTAATATTGGGACTCTCTTGGCCCGTCTTGGGTCCTCTTGAGCACTTGGGGATGTCTTGTGACCTCACTGTCGGGCCGTCTTGGGGACGATGTTTGGGCCCTTTTGGGCCGTCTTGGGTTGTAGGGAGCCTAGACAGGCAACGAGCACAGGAAAATCATTGAGCAAATGACGGGAAGCCAATGACTGTTGCATTTCAATGTCCTCCTGGGGTCCATTCCTGGCCGTCGTGGGCCTCCTGGAGCTGCCTCGGGGCTCTATTTGGCCGTGCTGGGGGTACCTG